ATGAGGCCACTACACCGAATAATACGCACTAACACGGCCACCAACACAACCCCTCCCGCCACACATAAGGGGATGCTCCACATCCCGACCGGCACGAATAGACAGATACGGATCCCTGCCATTGCCAACCCCGCACTGCGCGCCAACTTGCTCTCCGTACACGACATTGCAGTGCAATGGGGAGAAGTCAGATTCACACCCACACAAGCACTCATCCTAGATACGAGCATAAGCCCACCGCAGACTGTAGCCAAAGCAAAATTCTCCAAGGGAATGTACTACCTGCAAGTACCCAAGGAGAAAGGAAATATTATGGCAGCAAGGACCGCCCCCGCAAGAAAAATTACGCCCACGAAAGCACCGAAAGCCCAAAAAAATAGGACGACGGCCAAACCTACACCAAGCAGCATACCAACACTCGGACAAGTGGCGCCGACAGTAAAAAGAATACCTCTGCATGTAGCGCACAACCCCGCGCCACCGCCGTACACTCCGGCACACCCCGCAGTCGAACGGGACTTCCACCATTACCATGTGATATTCAATCACATACGCCCCGCCACGCTTCAAAAAATGGCAAAGCTCGGCCTGTTGCCCAACCTCCCACCCACATTGAGACAAAGACCCCCACGCATGACCTGCTCAAGCTGCGCAGCCGCGAAACAACAACCGGCCCCGCACTACCCAACCACACACAGATACCCAGTAGGAGCAGCGTTCAGCAGTGACATATGCGGACCGTTCAACCCGCCCTCACGCCAAGGAAACAAGTACATACTCACGATAATTGACACGAAATCAAGATACCTCATTGTCGACTTCTTGGAATCACGAGCTGAGACACCGCACCGACTGAACAAAATACTTACAGCACTCAAACAAAGGAATGGATGCAAGCCCAAGCTGTTACACACGGACAACGCTAAAGAATATATATCCAAATATGCGACCAGAATGTATCGCTCACAAAATGTCATGCACAGCACTACAGTGCCGCACACACCCCAACAGAACGGCATAGCAGAGAGGATCAACGGAACCCTGATGAATTCTGCAAGAGCAGCGCTGCACCACAGTGGTCTCCCCAAAACTCACTGGGAAGACGCCGTCAGAGACGCAGCATTCAAGTATAATAACATACTACACCACTCCACCAACTCTCTGCCATTCACAACGTGGACCAACACCACCCCCAGAGTCCCCCAATTTCTCCTATTCGGGCAACTAGGGACAATCCCGGAACTGGCCAACAGGAAACAAATATCCAAACTCGCCCCAAGAGCCACCCCCGCCAGATACTTACATGGGATAGATGAGCACCACATCATGGTACTCGAAACAAAAACCAACAAGCCTCGAAGAATGCGCTGTGTCAACTTCCAACCCTACCACAGAGCAAATGACCCCGCAGCGTCATGCACACACGCGAGGAAGGCGTTTACTCCACACCGCACACCCACACGAGTGACACGCACAACACCAGCCCCTGCCAGCACAACCCAAGCCAAAAAATATCCCGACGCAGCAGAGTGGGAAAAGGCACACACCGAGGAATTGGAAAACCTAGACAAAATGAACGTCGTACAATGGACACCAGATGCCAACCTCCCCAAAAAAGTAAAACTCATACCTCTAAAAATGGGATACCGATACAAGAGAAACAGCGCAGGAGAAATAGCATCGAGAAAAGCGCGATGCTCAGCACGCGGAGACAAGATGGTGCCACACAAGCACTTTGACCCTGCCAAAACGACAACTTATATGGCGGATAAAACAACTGTAAGGACACTGTTCGGCATAGCAGCAACACACCGCATGCACATAGAGCACATCGATATCAAGTCAGCATATCTACATGAGAAATTCGCACACAACGGCAGCGAACAAGTGTACGTGAAACAACCACCCCGTTTCAACGGCACATACAAGCACCCATGCCAAGGAGGCAAGTTGAACATGAACATATATGGGACGCCCTCTGCAGGACACACCTACCTGACAGCAGTATTCGCCCTACTACGCAAAAGCAAGTTCCAACAAAGCGAAGCTGACCTCTGCCTTTGGTCAAAAAAAACTGGAAAGAACCTCATCATGGCCGCAGTAAGCATGGATGATTTTACTGTCGTCGCGTCAAAAGCCGAGCTCAAGGAGGAGTTCGCAAAAGCATTAGCCAAAGCGTACAACATCAAGCGCCTAGGAGAGCACAAAACATTCCTAGGATGGACTGTACAGCGAAGCACAAATGGAGACATCCATGTCTCCCAGCCTAATGCAATCAACTACATAGTTGAACAAGCAGACATGGCGCAGTGCAACGGCAAGGAAACTCCGTACTGCGACGGAGTAATGCTTCACAAACCAACGGACACCGATGAGATCCAAATGGAAACCCTCAAAAAATACCAACAACTAATTGGGGACCTCCGATATGTCGCCGACTCCACCCGGCCTGACATATATTTCCTGACAAACCGACTCGCCGTCGCGGCCAACAAGCCGACACAGAGGCATTGGAGCGCGTTAATGCGACTGATTCGGTACCTAAAACGTACCCCCACGACAGGCCTCATCTTCCGAGCTGGCAAGTCCACCAGCAAAGAGTCGACACAGGACCTTCTCATCTCCTATGCAGACGCGGACTTCGCAGCGGACATAATGGACAGAAAGTCCATCTCAGGGACCCTACACACCTACAATGGAACACCGATTTGTTGGGGATCCCTCAAGCAAAACATCACTGCTCTGTCCACCTGCGAGGCTGAGTACATAGCGGCAACAGCAGCCGCTCAACAAACAACATGGATCCGACGCATGCTCAAGGACATCCACATGCTGTCGACCAAGCCAACACCCCTGAGGATTGACAATCAGTCAGCAATCCACGTTGCGAACAGCACAGGACCGACAAAGCGGCGAAAATTCATAGACTTGCGTCACCACTATCTGACGCACCAGTCACAAAAGGGAACAATCACCCTCGCCCATGTCCCCACCGACGAGCAACTGGCGGACATCCTCACAAAACCCCTCCGGCGCCAAGCATACACGCGCCTCCTACCCAAGCTGCAACTCACAACCCAGCAGACTGCAGACGCCAAGACTGCTGCGCCGTCGACAGGGGGAGTGTCATGAGAGCCATACAAACAAGTGCCGACGCCGCACCAGCATGCCGCCGCTGTCATGAGAGCCATACGTGCACACGTAGCACACGCACGACAGCGCAATTAGATCATCTTTATTCACCGCCGTCTCACTGATCCCTCCCATTCCCTTATAAGGTAGAGACACGATAGGCATCAGTAAACGGAAGGTATCGATCTTGCACCACACTTACCTAGTTACTTAGTTACTTTCTTTTTTTTACTTTCTTCCTACTTTCTTCCTACTTTCTTCCTACTTTCTTCCTACTTCTTTCTGCTTTCTTTCTGTTCTCTTTCTGTTCTCTTTCTGCTTTCTTTCTATTGCCTTTTTATTGTATTTGTATTGTATTTGTATTGTTCCTCCTCTCCTCACCAACCTCGTCTTGTCTATGTTCATCTACTTGTTCGTCTCCGTTTCGATCGAGTTCAAACGCGCACGGGTCTTAGCGACAAACACTTTTCTCTCTCCTCTCGCTAAACCTATTCCTTTTACACATTACGCAATCCAAATACTCTAAAACTAAGCCTTTCGCCCTTCCAACGTCTTCCCGCTGCCTCCCCCCCCCCCCCCAAATCCATCATCCTGCACACTGCCTCTTGCTCACGAGACCTCCCTCACCCGCTACGCTCCCTACTGCCTGCCATCTCGGCTTCCCGGCACGCACAGCAGCCCGAGGCGTTAGCGATGACGTCCCCACGTCCCCACGTTCCCACGTCCCCACGTTCCCACGTCCCCACGTTCCCACGTCTCCACGTCCCCACATCCTCACGTTTTTACCCTTTTACCCTCCCCCGTAGTACACAGCCCAAAATGTGGCGTTCCGAAGTCCGCGACAGGAAGCAGCGGGACCAGCGAAATGCGTGGAATCAGGGGAGGCGGAATGCAAATCGATCGTATGCATTTAATTGGTTGGATCTGTCCCGTATGGCGCGCAGTGACGTCATTTGTCGAGGGGTTTCGGACCCTAGAAACCGGGATCGGGAGCGGAAGACACCCGGAATCTGGAATCGATGAACATGCCTCCAGACGTCCGCCTCCAGACGTCCGGCTGAAAACACGTTTCACACTTACTGACAAATGCAGACACGCACCGAGGGTCCTTCCAGGCAGAAATCATGCTTGAATCACGATCTCACCTGCGCTCATGCGCTCATGCGCTCATGCGCACGTCAGATCATCCACTCACGGTCTGTCTCTCCTACGATAAATGTCGACTCTCACTTCCACCCTCAGACAAATGCACCTCTGTACATCAACAGAACAAACACACGTGATGCACCGGACTGCGCGCCTCCCTTTCCCTTCCCGACATCCACCTTAACCCACCGCACCGACCGCACTGACCGCACAGACACCTCCGACACAACCGCTTCAACCTCGGCTTCCATTCTGTTTGGGCCGTGGTTCACGAATACGAGTCCTCTCTTTTGAAAGGTAAGTCTCGCACTGGTGTCCCGGCGACCGCACCAAAGAACATATGTGAAATGGGCGGCCTCCTTGCCTGCGAGACTTACCGCAACAGCGCTTGAGAGAGATGCTGTTGCTAACGCGAGTCACCGCTTGTTTTTTCGGCGCTTTTCGTTCTTTCTGTTTGTATTTCTTTCCTATTTACACGACGCACTGGCACTGTTTCTTCTTTTTTTGCCGTGCAGGCAACGGACTGGCACCCAGACGTTTTGCTCACGTTCCAGGACGTCCATCTTGGCCTTCCGGGTCAAGCACGCCAGAGGTACGGTTTACACGCAGACATATAGGCAGAAGAAAGAGCGATCTGAAAATGCGGTTTGGTGTTTCTTCTTTCTCTTCTTCTTTATACACGCAGGTGAATGTTATATTAAAGAACTGGGTTTAGATTTCACATGTACGGTACAGTGTAGTAAGAGTCTTTATTGGTAAGAATAGAGGTGTTAAACGTTTCAAACGTTTCGTTCGCACGAAAAGGTTTGCCAGCAAAGGAAGAAGGGTAGAGTCTGCAAGCGCGGAAAATTGCGAAACACAGAGGCGGAAGCAAAAGGTTACCGAGAATGACACACGATAACAACTGGCTGTTGTGCTGATTGCGTGAAGAGTGGCGGCTGTCGGCGCGGCATACTTAACCTTTGGGGTGGTACGGACGGGCGAATGGTATCTGCGGTTTTGATACTTGTTTCTTGCCAGTCACACGCCTCCCGTACCTCGCATTAACCCCGCCCCCGTTTTGGCTCTCGACGGCGCCGTCCCCTTGTGCCGCGCCCGTTCTCCACCAACCCCTTTTGCCTCCTTGACCCCCTACCTACTGCCGTCGTCTCATGCCAATTGTCCGGCACTCACACCATCGTCGTCTACGGCCCTCTGTTCTCCCTCTTCCGCATGCTCTCTCCCTAATACGACCTCCGTTGCCGCAGCAGAGTCCCCTTCCGATCTCCCCTTCCCACCTCTCTGTGACGCTGTCATCGATTTCATTGAACACCCCCCAATGTCCCCAATGTCCACGCGCCCCTTCCCCTTCCAACCGCAAGTGGCGAGCAAACATCCTCGAGTGCTTCAATCTGTTCTCCCTCTTCCGCATGCTCTCTCCCTAATACGACCTCCGTCGCCGCAGCAGAGTCCTCTTCCGATCTCCCCTTCCCACTTCTCTGTGACGCTGTCATCGATTTCATTGAACACCCCCCAATGTCCCCAATGTCCACGCGCCCCTTCCCCTTCCAACCGCAAGTGGCGAGCAAACATCCTCGAGTGCTTCAATACAGTCCCCATTCCCTCCCATCTCCTCAGTCGACGAGTATGCAATGATTTCCAGCGCCCAGCATCCCCAGTTTGTCCCTCAATTCACTCCGTCGGAAGAACATGCTTCGCATATGACCTTTCTCACAAGTTCCGCACCGCCCACATCCCGCCCAACCCGCCCAACCCGTGCTGGAAACCGGATCGGGAGCGCAACACACCCGGAATGTAGCACCGCCCACATCCCGCCCAACCCGCCCAACCCGTGCTGGAAACCGGATCGGGAGCGCAACACACCCGGAATGTAGAATCGATAAACATACCTCCACCTCCAGACTCCCGGCCGAAACACCTTTCACACTTAAAAAATGCGGAGAGCGCGGAGAGCGAGAGCGCGGAGAGCGCGGAGAGCGAGAGCGCGGAGAGCGCGGAGAGCGTGGAAAGATTGGAGCGCGGAGAGCGCGGAGAGCGAGAGCGCGGAGAGCGCGGAGAGCGAGAGCGCGGAGAGCGCGGAGAGCGTGGAAAGATTGGTCGTAAGTGCACGTACCCAGGGGGCGTGTTCTCGACGTGGACACGTTTCACATCCGGATCTCGAACACCTGACACAGTACCCTTGGTACAGTACATGGCAATCACAGCCATGTACTGTACTGTGCGCGTGTGGAGGTGAAGGTACCTACTTTTAAAAAAGTAATGTTTAACCAAAGTGCACAATGGTGCGGTGAGCGATGATCGCTCACACGCAGAAGCGAGTTTTTTACTTGTTCAATTCACTGTAACATGCAAGCCGCGGACAACCTTCAAATTATAGAAGCAATGTTGATTGCGAGGACAAATGCATACCTTTAAATACCGTTGGTATCCACACTGTGTCGCCGCAGAGTCCGCTGTTTGGGTGAGAGGAGTTCGTGGCAGAGTGGACAACCGGTTACTGGTGGTGCAGTTGACACTCTGCGCCTGCGAGGCCCTGGGTTCGATTCCCGCCCGGTGCCCAACTTGGTTGCGTGCCCAAGTTGGTTGAGCCACTTGGGCACCCAACCAAGTTGGCCCGGGCAAAATTCGTAGCTTACCTAGTTACTTAGTTACTTTCTTTTTTACTTTCTTCCTACTTTCTTCCTACTTTCTTCCTACTTTCTTCCTACTTCTTTCTGCTTTCTTTCTGTTCTCTTTCTGCTTTCTTTCTATTGCCTTTTTATTGTATTTGTATTGTATTTGTATTGTTCCTCCTCTCCTCACCAACCTCGTCTTGTCTATGTTCATCTACTTGTTCGTCTCCGTTTCGATCGAGTTCAAACGCGCACGGGTCTTAGCGACAAACACTTTTCTCTCTCCTCTCGCTAAACATATTCCTTTTACACATTACGCAATCCAAATACTCTAAAACTAAGCCTTTCGCCCTTCCAACGTCTTCCCGCTCCCCCCCCCCCCCCAAATCCATCATCCTGCACACTGCCTCTTGCTCACGAGACCTCCCTCACCCGCTACGCTCCCTACTGCCTGCCATCTCGGCTTCCCGGCACGCACAGCAGCCCGAGGCGTTAGCGATGACGTCCCCACGTCCCCACGTTCCCACGTCCCCACGTTCCCACGTCCCCACGTTCCCACGTCCCCACGTTCCCACGTCCCCACGTTCCCACGTCTCCACGTCCCCACATCCTCACGTTTTTACCCTCCCCCGTAGTACACAGCCCAAAATGTGGCGTTCCGAAGTCCGCGACAGGAAGCAGCGGGACCAGCGAAATGCGTGGAATCAGGGGAGGCGGAATGCAAATCGATCGTATGCATTTAATTGGTTGGATCTGTCCCGTATGGCGCGCAGTGACGTCATTTGTCGAGGGGTTTCGGACCCTAGAAACCGGGATCGGGAGCGGAAGACACCCGGAATCTGGAATCGATGAACATGCCTCCAGACGTCCGGCTGAAAACACGTTTCACACTTACTGACAAATGCAGACACGCACCGAGGGTCCTTCCAGGCAGAAATCATGCTTGAATCACGATCTCGCCTGCGCTCATGCGCTCATGCGCACGTCAGATCATCCACTCACTGCGCACGTCAGATCATCCACTCACTGTCTGTCTCTCCTACGATAAATGTCGACTCTCACTTTTCCACCCTCAGACAAATGCACCTCTGTACATCAACAGAACAAACACACGTGATGCTTAACCCACCGCACCGACCGCACTGACCGCACAGACACCTCCGACACAACCGCTTCAACCTCGGCTTCCATTCTGTTTGGGCCGTGGTTCACGAATACGAGTCCTCTCTTTTGAAAGGTAAGTCTCGCACTGGTGTCCCGGCGACCGCACCAAAGAACATATGTGAAATGGGCGGCCTCCTTGCCTGCGAGACTTACCGCAACAGCGCTTGAGAGAGATGCTGTTGCTAACGCGAGTCACCGCTTGTTTTTTCGGCGCTTTTCGTTCTTTCTGTTTGTATTTCTTTCCTATTTACACGACGCACTGGCACTGTTTCTTCTTTTTTTGCCGTGCAGGCAACGGACTGGCACCCAGACGTTTTGCTCACGTTCCAGGACGTCCATCTTGGCCTTCCGGGTCAAGCACGCCAGAGGTACGGTTTACACGCAGACATATAGGCAGAAGAAAGAGCGATCTGAAAATGCGGTTTGGTGTTTCTTCTTTCTCTTCTTCTTTATGCACTCAGGTGAATGTTATATTAAAGAACTGGGTTTAGATTTCACATGTACGGTACAGTGTAGTAAGAGTCTTTATTGGTAAGAATAGAGGTGTTAAACGTTTCAAACGTTTCGTTCGCACGAAAAGGTTTGCCAGCAAAGGAAGAAGGGTAGAGTCTGCAAGCGCGGAAAATTGCGAAACACAGAGGCGGAAGCAAAAGGTTACCGAGAATGACACACGATAACAACTGGCTGTTGTGCTGATTGCGTGAAGAGTGGCGGCTGTCGGCGCGGCATACTTAACCTTTGGGGTGGTACGGACGGGCGAATGGTATCTGCGGTTTTGATACTTGTTTCTTGCCAGTCACACGCCTCCCGTACCTCGCATTAACCCCGCCCCCGTTTTGGCTCTCGACGGCGCCGTCCCCTTGTGCCGCGCCCGTTCTCCACCAACCCCTTTTGCCTCCTTGACCCCCTACCTACTGCCGTCGTCTCATGCCAATTGTCCGGCACTCACACCATCGTCGTCTACGGCCCTCTGTTCTCCCTCTTCCGCATGCTCTCTCCCTAATACGCCCTCCGTCGCCGCAGCACAGTCCCCTTCCCACCTCTCAGTTACGCTGCCATCGCTTTCGTTGAATACCCCCGCTCTCTACCTAATACACCCTCTGTCGCCGCAGCACAGTCCCCTTCCGACTTCCCCTTCCGATCTCTCACACCATCGTCGTCTGCGGCCCTCTGTTCTCCCTCTTCCGCATGCTCTCTCCCTAATACGACCTCCGTCGCCGCAGCAGAGTCCTCTTCCGATCTCCCCTTCCCACTTCTCTGTGACGCTGTCATCGATTTCATTGAACACCCCCCAATGTCCCCAATGTCCACGCGCCCCTTCCCCTTCCAACCGCAAGTGGCGAGCAAACATCCTCGAGTGCTTCAATACAGTCCCCATTCCCTCCCATCTCCTCAGTCGACGAGTATGCAATGATTTCCAGCGCCCAGCATCCCCAGTTTGTCCCTCAATTCACTCCGTCGGAAGAACATGCTTCGCATATGACCTTTCTCACAAGCCCCACATCATGGTCACCGCTCACAATTAAATTGATTCCAATACCCTACAACCTAACCCCCAATTTCTCCAGTTAACGTTCCGCACCGCCCACATCCCGCCCAACCCGCCCAACTCGTGCTGGAAACCGGATCGGGAGCGCAACACACCCGGAATGTAGAATCGATAAACATACCTCCACCTCCAGACTCCCGGCCGAAATACCTCCACCTCCAGACTCCCGGCCGAAACACCTTTCACACTTAAAAAATGCAGACAGCGGGGAGAGCGAGAGCGCGGAGAGCGCGGAGAGCGAGAGCGCGGAGAGCGCGGAGAGCGAGAGCGCGGAGAGCGCGGAGAGGAGAGCGCGGAGAGCGCGGAGAGCGAGAGCGCGGAGAGCGCGGAGAGCGTGGAAGATTACAGAGAATGGGAATTCATGGGAGAGGGCCAAAATGTCGGCAAAAATATGTCGTAAGTGCACGTACCCAGGGGGCGTGTTCTCGACGTGGACACGTTTCACATCCGGATCTCGAACACCTGACACAGTACCCTTGGTACAGTACATGGCAATCACAGCCATGTACTGTACTGTGCGCGTGTGGAGGTGAAGGTACCTACTTTTAAAAAAGTAATGTTTAACCGAAGTGCACAATGGTGCGGTGAGCGATGATCGCTCACACGCAGAAGCGAGTTTTTTACTTGTTCAATTCACTGTAACATGCAAGCCGCGGACAACCTTCAAATTATAGAAGCAATGTTGATTGCGAGGACAAATGCATACCTTTAAATACCGTTGGTATCCACACTGTGTCGCCGCAGAGTCCGCTGTTTGGGTGAGAGGAGTTCGTGGCAGAGTGGACAACCGGTTGCTGGTGGTGCAGTTGACACTCTGCGCCTGCGAGGCCCTGGGTTCGATTCCCGCCCGGTGCCCAACTTGGTTGCGTGCCCAAGTTGGTTGAGCCACTTACCTAGTTACTTAGTTACTTTCTTTTTTTTACTTTCTTCCTACTTTCTTCTTACTTTCTTTTTTTTACTTTCTTCCTACTTTCTTCCTACTTTCTTCCTACTTTCTTCCTACTTTCTTCCTACTTTCTTCCTACTTCTTTCTGTTCTCTTTCTATTCTC